TTGAAAGAAACTTTAAAAGGTTTTCGAGCAAACGGTAAAGAAATAGAAAAAGATACAATACAATATTTTGACAAGCTTGTCAACAAACTTCAAATAGCCGTGCGATGATTGCTAATGCGAAGATTATCACCTTCTGCTCAGGTGCGTTAGCTCCATTTTAAAACCAATCGCATGTCGGGACAGATACTTTTAGAAAATACAAACAGTTGTGAGTGAAAAAAAACAATTTTAGAGACAAAACACTGTATTTCTTGGTTCATTTTCGAATGGTTATAACTTTGAACGCAAGGTCGTATAGAGTTGTGAGACGTCTTATTCAGACAAGAAAATTTTACTCCACAGATTTATTATTCTATAATTCGGAACTGTTTACAGCACTGATTCACTCTCTGTTCTCTTTTATCTTTTACACTGCTTTCTATCTTAATATATTGTCAGTAGCATTTGTTAATTATTTTCCTTCTTTCTTGTAAAAGATGTATCATAAAAAGAAGAACACAAAATAAGCCGCTTATATAGGACCAAATTATCCTTCTGTTCTTTCTTTGTTTTGACCTCTTTTGTTGGGGTTCTTTTAGTGATTTGATAAACTCTTTCAAGACTTTGATAACTTCGGCAGTATTCTTGACTAGATGTTTCGCTGTGTCTCTTTCCATTTTCTTAACGGTATCGACAACATTGTTCAAAACTTTTATCACTCGACCAACATCTTCATCCATGTTTTCCATTGCATCTTGTTCCATTTGTATTATTCCGTTAATTACACTTGCTACTTGTTGTTTCAGTTTTTCAACAAAATTTCCTAATTGTGCCATAGCCTCTTGTTCAATTTCATGCTCTCCAGCTACCACATCACCAACGGCTTTTTGAAGTTTGTTGACAAGCTTGTCAAAATATTGTATTGTATCTTTTTCTATTTCTTTACCGTTTGCTCGAAAACCTTTTAAAGTTTCTTTCAATTTATCAATATCTTTTTGATAATTACTTATTAAACCAAATGCAATGCATACATGGATAATACAAACAAACAGACACAACGAATTCCGTTTCATGTTCATAATAGAGTATAACAATTTAACTTTAAAGCTCAGTTTAACATTGAGCTCCTGGATGATTATACACACTTATCGGTGCTGCAAACTGAGCGAATAAAAAATAGAAGTAACACCATTCAACCTATCAAGTTCAGACACTTTTTATGCATTATTCATCTTTCTCTGTATGGCCACGTCAGACAGAAAGAAGAAGTAACACCATTCAGCCTATCCGGTTCAGACACCCTTTATGAATTCATCATTCTGTTTGTAGCCACGTCATGAAGTGACATTCAAATTTCATCATTGCTTTGATTCAATATGAATCACAACTGACACAGGTATCTTTCTTTTTTTTTCTTTTTTCTTCTAGAACACACATATGTAACACCATCAAAACAGTTTGAAATGTATCATGGGCTTTTACCTTTTTCTTTTTGTACTTTTTCCACAATAAATATAGCTTAAACTAACTGGCAAGCACAATTCGATGAGAAAATCCATTGATAACTTGAGCCACCCTTAGAATATTGGAAACATTCCATTGCCAAATTTTCTAAGAGAGCAGTCTCGACAAAAAGCGCAATTTAATATTTATATACTATTTAATATTTAGTTAATAAAATAACGTTTTAACAGGAAGTGTAATAGAATCAAAAAAATCATATTATGAAAGAAACTTGCACGATTGTTCGTACATCGTGAAACCATGAAACTCATACTATGGTACTGTGAAATTCATAGTATTACTGTGAAACTATGAAAATGATGGTGTGATACTGTGAAAATGTGAAAGTGTGTTGGTATGGTGTTAGTATGATAAATCGATACTATGAATTCATGTTTATACTATAGACCTTCACTGTATCAATTGACAGACCTCAGTATTTAAAACTTTAAACGAACCAAAAAAAAATACATGATTAGATAGATAATTATATGACACATCGAACTGCATTTAAATTTTTTCAGAAATAATTCAAAACCAATTGTTCCAGTTGCTTGAAAACAAACCGTTATTCTGCTTTTAAAAATCATATTCATTCTAATTAACTATGAGGATGTATCACTACTATCTAAAACCTGAATAAAATGTTTCGGGCTGCTCGCTGTGTCATTCTAGTTTTGTGTTTTATTGAAATAAAAGATTTTAAGACACTTTTTGTGATCAGCGTAAAAAGGTGAGTTGAATGATGTGGAATTCAACACTTTCTCGACACTTTTTTCTGATAAGAAGGTTTATAATTATGTATTTATGAAATGCCTATGTACTAAAAAATGTGCGTTCTGGAAGAACATAACTTGAAAACAAATCAAATAATTCCTTGGCCTTTGAAATAAAACGAAAATACACGGAGAAAAACGTGCTTGTCTGATCTACTAAATCCCAGTTACATACAGTAAAACTACAAGCGTTCTAATGTTTATACGAGTAAGTATGTGACCGATGTTACGCAAGCTATTTTCTAGAAGCGTAAAAAATGACTGTCATTCATTCCAACGGTCTTGGTGGAAAATATCGAAAGGAAAAATGTCGAAAAGGAAAATATCGATAAAAAAAAAGAGCAAAACGTCGAAGAGGAAAATGTAGAAGAACAAAATGCCGAAAAGGCAAACGTCGAAAGCGGATAATGGAAGAAGGAAAGTATCGAAAGGAAAACGCCGAAAAGGA